TCCTTAGAGCAGAGAGCCAAGTTTAATTCGGTGCAGATCAGAGATGGAATGTTTTTCTGTCTGTTTCAGGTAGAAATGTCGTTTGTGGGATTACTTAAACTTCACTTTAGGATATTAGACTTTTAGTTACACATGCTGTTTTGTTCTGAAACAATGTTAAACTGAATGTTACCTATATAGTAGTTGGTACTTTCAAAAACTGTTTTGTGGAATCAAAAGCATCTAGGAAAGGTATGACTTTCTTTAGAAGAGTCTAGTGTCATCTAAAGAGACAAAGGGCATTTAGTTATTAAGCACAAGGACCGTGGATGTAGGTTACGTGAGACCGAGTAAGGTTATACGTTTTATTTCTGCATTGTATCAAATCCTCTGAGTTTTCAGACGGTTTTTTGGACTGAAGCCGAACACTCTGATCATCTGGAGAAGAGAGAGGTAGCGACAAAGTGGTTAGGTGCTGATTAAAGTTTAAAAACAGGATGAATAAAGAACTTTTGTGGATCTTTTTCTCAAAGGTTAGGAATATAGATGACATTAGTTTTGTTTGCATTATCGAACATTGCTTTCTGTGTTAGTTAAGCCCTCATTTCAGTATAGAATAATAAATGTTTTTTGGGTAATTCAAGGATTTCTTGTTTCTTGGTGTATTACTGCCTCTGTAATATTTCACACCAGATTGTTTTCTGCTTTCGAAGCAACCAGGGTGCAGTTGAGTAGCCTGTTAACTGTCCTCCTTCTGCCAAAAAGTCTGTTGCACACCACATCTAACTATGGGACCTTGCACAGCTGGAAGTGATAGAAATGAATCAATTGCTTGCTTACTTATTCCTCGCAATTCATTTGTTGTCTCTGTCTGTTAAAGCTGATTGTTCTTTCTGATACATCTTAATGTTTGGATTCAGAGAAATTAATCCACTCTTTCTCATAAAGATACACATGTGCATGAGTGAGTCAGAGGAAGTGAGAGGTTGTCCATCTCTCAGAAACTTCTGTAGTTTCATATGACTTACGCATAGTTCATACGTAGGAAGGTTTCTCAGTCTTTACGGAGTTATGTCACAGGACGTCTTTGCGCCGATGTTACCTGCCTGCGTCATACATTTGATCAAAAAAGATAAACCACAACTGTAGGTTTGCCTCTAAATGTCTCAAAAGTCACTATCGGTGATGTTGCATTCAGTACATATAAAATTATATTTACTAAGAAGATTCAGATGATAAAGAAATGTTATTATGGTATTAATAATTAATTTAAGGAACAAAATGTAACCTTTTTGTGTTATTGATTTGCTTTTCAAAACTTCCACACTCATCTTTGTAAATACAGATTAACAGATTAGTTAGTTGAACAACGGCCAACACAACAGTTATTTGCATGTTTTTATATTGCATAGAAAAAGATCATTTACACAGTTGTTTTCTCCATAGGTCAAGCAGTGCATTTATGTTACTGCAGGGTTCAGAGGTCATTACTTTCTGAAAACTGAACAGGCTGTTCAGTTACTGCTGTTACTGCTGACTGAGCGTAGTGCACCCACTAGTGGCTTAAAGGCACAACTTCAATCTGAACCACTTCAGATGAGAATCAAGCAAAGAAATTGGCATAACAAATAAACTGGACTGTGCTTGTAGTAGGACTGCTCGATTATGGCAAAAATCATAATATTGATTATTTGGGTCAATAATTGATGTCACGATTATTAAAAACGATTATCCATTTACTTTGAAAACATCAATTTATTGGAGAGAAAAACAGTTGATTACCCTGAACTTTAAGTATAATTCAACTGGAAAAGCAGTTGAAAAAAAAGTAATAAAAAAAAAAAAAAAGTAATAATAAAAAAATAATCGTTTTATTTCAATTACGTTGTATTCGTAATCGTTGCAAGCCATAATGGTAATTGCGATTAAAATACGATTAATTGAGCAGCCCTAGCTTGTAGCAATTTTAAGGATAACTTGGTGACACATATATACTGTACTACAGGATAAGAGGAAAACATATAACAACCAAAAGAAGCAAATATGTCATATATACTGTATATACCTATACTATGTGGGTATGTGAAAGAGAGATACCCATAAAGCTTCGAGGGGCTAATCTTCCTCAAGCGTCATGGTGTCAGTAGGAGGTAAAGCGGCTTGCCTTCTTCCCCTGATATACAACACAATCAGATACACACTTGCAATAATACACACATACGAGTGTGTAAAACATGCATGTGACATATCAGCATCAATTGTGGTTAACTGTAGATAATAGCATTTGTTGGCTGCTGCTGAGTGTGTGCACTGAGGCATTTCTTCCAGCCCTTGGGGAAGCACAGCTCTTCAACACATTGCAGAGAGACATCCCCCGCTGTTATTTCTGGTTTCTTTATATATTATGCAGTAAGCTATTATATAAAGAGCTGCCTCCTCTGTTTCTTTTATTTATTTATTTCCTCTCGCGTCTCACCTCCCTGCTTCTGGTTCTTTCCCTCAGTGGGAGGATAATCCGGGATCCTCTCGGGGAAGCTTTGATCTCCCCCTCATCTTTCCGAACTCGTTCGCACACAAACCCAATCGGACTGAGAGGTTCTGTGGGAACTTCTGTTTACAGTTTCCCATGGATTGGCTCTGAACTGACAAAACTGGATATTTTCTCATTAGCGAAAGCAGAAGAGCGATCCGCTGAGGGGTTTCACAGAACAATAGTCGTGACAAAAAGCACAAGCAGCGCCACCAAAATAGGCTAGCGGTTCTGGTGTAACAGTATATCAGTCAGGTGGCCCTAGCCTTGCACACTGCAGCAATATCAACACCTGCTCCAAGGACAGCCCATTGATTCTGCCATTGAAGCAGACAGACAGAGAGATTGATGACAGTGTTGGCAGCAGGGAGAGAAATTGACATGTAAGTGGTGGAGAGTGAGGGAGAGATGGAGCGGAGGGGAGGGGGAGGTCGATGAATGTGAGCAGAGGCGATGTGTGTGGTGCATTCTCGTGACAGCTCAGCAGCTACACCACATGTCTGCCTTGGAAAAGGAAAAGGGGAAGCCTCTCCTCCTTTTCAAAACAGCCCTACACTGTCTGCCTGATGCTGTTGCCATAGCGTTGCGGTGTTCTGGTAATTGGCGCACACACACTTTCACCGACCAAATTGGGGAAGGATGCAATTATCTCCCTTCTCTCTTTTTTCTTTTCCTCTGCTCTGACCGTCTTCCTCACTCCCTAGTTGTTTCACGCTTGGTAAAAATAGCCCTGCACAGATACCCTCCAATATTATTATGGGATGCAGATAATGACCAGGCTTATGAGATCTACACAATGACCGCCACGCTCGGGATGTCAGTAGACAACAGAAGACTGAAAAGAGGGAGAGGATAATAATAGAGATAATGGCGATAAATACAGTTGCATTCACATTCCTTAAACATGCTCCATCCCCTCTGTCAAATTATTGTTTTACTGTAGATGGAAGGAATAGCTGTACAGCTCCACGAAATTCCTTCACAATGGCTGAACTGACGTCATGAAAGAATGCCTTTGAGAGGGAATTACAGTGGTTGGGAATAGACAAGGATGGGATTCATGGGCAATGGTTGCACAGCTGGAAAACGTGAGGAGAGAGGACATCTTATCAGGAACTCAAGTCTGGATATAAAATATCAGTCAATCAAACATCCCATCACAACCTCGTGTTTACACCAATGCCAAGATGTAATTAGGGCTCCCCCTTCTCCCCACTTTCTGTCAAATCATGTGTTCTGAAGAGAGCGTGTTGCTGGGGCTGGCAGACTACAGCGGGGGAAAGAGACAGGAGAGGGAGGGAACCGAATAGAGAGAGAGAAAAGCAGGGTAGGAGGGGGAGTGAGCGCTACAGCAGTGAGCAGCAAAGCAAGACAAATCCAGTGGAGGAACCCCCCCTCCAGTCAGATGAACATCACTACCTCACTCCCTCCCTCCTGCTTCACCGTTGTTTTTTTCCCCCTCCTCCCTTTCTCGCTCCTCTATAATTCATCTGTGCGCTGAGAGTCCCCTGCTCACGGCTCCAGCCGCTCCATCCGAACCACCGAGCCTGTTGGATCTCCTCCTCTCCTCGCTACATCGTCTTCTTTTACCTCCATTTGTCCGTCCATCTATTCTTGCATCCCTCCACAGGCATGGAGAGTCAAAACTGGCCTTTTTCTGCTGCTGAGAGGGAGAGTGAGCCATCATCGAGCTCCTCTCTTAGCTGCTGAAAAGGGAAACACAAGATAAGAGAAGAAGGGATTTTGTTGTCCTTTTTGGCGTTAAAAGAATCCTGTTTGTCTGCCTCCATTTCTTTCTATTGGATTACAGTTCTGGCTTTGTGTAGGAACCAAAAAACGGGGTCCAAAATGCCTGAAGCAAATTACCTGCTGTCGGTGTCTTGGGGTTACATTAAGGTGTGTGGCGCTTATCTACGTAGCATGTCGGGATAACATATGGATTTCATTGTATCGCTTTGCTGTGTTGCTGTTGAAATTCAGCATTTTGATAATTATTTTGTGGAGCATTTGAGATAACTGTGCTAGCCTAATTGCACCGAAATACATTTCCATCATGATGAGAGGGGGTCTGACAGAATGGTGTTTGTGGCTCAGGCTCCATCTTGAGCCCTTTGCAGAGCTCTGTGTGTCTGTATGTGTGAGTTGGTCTGTATGTGTGTGCACGCGCCTGCATCAGTCTGTCATAAACAGCTGCTGCTGCTGCAGTGCTCGGGTCTCCATGTTCTGTCAAATGCATCCGTCTCCCTCAACTATTTCCTCTATTCAAAATGGTTCATGTTATTGAAAGTACATGAACATAAAGAATGTTGTAACAAAGAGGAATTTAGAGTGCACTGTGCAGATTTTGCTCTTGACATCATTGAAATGTTTGCATACTGACGTACGTGAAGCAGCGAAATAGGCCCCAGAAATGTGATTCAGTGCAATAAAACTGAAAATTGGTTGCCCGGGGTGAATTGAGGGTTATAAAAAGGGGTTGACTTCCCCACTGGTAAAACAAATAAAGATCAGCATTCTCATTAATTCCAGGGAAAATGGAGGGGGAAATAACATGTGTGTCCCCACTGATTTGACGCTGTAATTAAATAATAATCTTGAGCTGGTGGAATACTGCTGCATTTTGCATGGAATCTTGTACCATAATGTTTCCCAGGTTTTCCCCTCTCTGGAAACTGACGACATTTCTTCCCTCTCCCTCTTTTTCTCTTGCAGTTCAAGAGGATGTTGAATCGGGAGTTGACGCACCTATCTGAGATGAGTCGGTCCGGGAATCAGGTTTCCGAATTCATCTCCAACACCTTCCTAGGTAAAGTCTAATGTACATGCACTCAAAATCACTGTCAAGACTCACAAATCTTGTTTTTATAATTAATCAATAATCATTACCAACAATAACTGTATACATATAAAGTCCCAACAGTTCATATAAAAATACAAACACAAAAATATGTAGTTGCTCACAAAGACCGCCCCACTCTGTTTTTCTGCAATGTGTTTGTGGCGGTTCAGTACATGTTAAGCTGTGCAAGTTGATCTGGCAGGCTTTTCTGTGGGGGCGTACCATAAAACACTGCGCCATTTAGCTTTGTCTAGATGTCATCGGGCTCCAAATGGCCATAGATATTGAAGTAAGAAGGGTACATTTCTTAAAGAATGACGAAGGGCAAAAAAGGGTGTTTAAGGTGGCCAACTACTGTTAAAGTGTAATTTGACAACAAGGGGCTTGTTGAATCTGAGCGGTCTGGAAGTGGATGCTGTCAGTGTGGGTTGCAAACTTGAGCTCTGAGAATAGATGGGAATACATTAATATATTTTTATACTTTTCTTCTCTTTTTTGACAGCCGCATGAACAACATGTTGCGTGACCCCGGTACAAAACAACACTATTGAGTCACTGTGTGGCAATAAAAATATGAAAATCGGCCCTACTACTACACAAGAAAAATCAGCCGATTTCTTCAAATGGGTTCAATGTAGGCTTTTGGTTAATGGGAGAATCCCACAGGAGCTAAAGAAAATAATGTTAAAGTTAGACAAATTATTTAATTATTAGAAATATAGATTGAAAAACAAAAGGGATGCTAGAAGGGTGACAGAATGCTCCTTGAAGTAGTTCAGATTATTTATGGGCACTGGCTTCTGATCGATTGGCAACCTCATCCGGTTTAGTGTTGTTGGCGGATCCCTCCTCACCGGATCATAGAGAGAGAGGGAAAGGTTGATGAGAGACAGAGAAAAAACAAACGTGGGAGGGAGAGAGGGAGATGACTGCAGTGAGGGAAAGAAATAGAGGTATAGAGGAACCCCCTTAGCTGGCAGTGAGATGATCTCGGCAGATTCAGTGACTCATCTTAGTGCATCTTTGTCAGCGGGGGACACCTTGTTGTCACTCCACCTCTCGCTGCCCCGAGAATCCCGACAGAGATGACTATCGCTTCGATAAGGAAGTCGGGATTACCCCACTGGCGGTAGGAAGAAAAACTGTTATGAGGAGTGGGTGGGGAAAAAACGGCTGAAGCAGCAAAGCTGGAATGGTTGGGCCTCAGCTGACCAGTTTAATCCTCCCATCCATTAAGATTAGTATCACGTCAGTAATGCCCTTATTTCTGCTCTAGATATTCTTTATTTAGGCCCAGATAAATGATCATTTCCTTCCACATGCCATGTTCTGCAGAGGTTATTTTTAAAACAACATAAATCCCAATCATTTTATTATAGACTATCTCGGTTTTAAAGCTTTCAACTGATGGAAAGGCAGACCTTTGAACCGTAAAACAATGATCATAAAGCCTGGTAATTCCCTAGATAAATAAAGACTGCAGAGTTACTCCTTTAGGGTGATTTCAGTCCAGGTTTTCTCACTTTCCTTTAAGGATTGTTGGCAGATAGCACCCTGGCCATTCACGTGTGCCTTTAACCCCGTCCCAGTTTGCAGCATAATTCTGCCATAATTCCCTTTGATCAGCCAGCAGCAGAACACACCTAGTTCGGGGAATACACCAAGGGAAAAAATGGCCCCAAAAATCGACCCCTCCCTGCCTTCCCTACTGCATCTGCGTCTCTCAGAAGAGAGCATATGGAGGAGGATGAAAAAGAAATCGAAATAGACGTGGGAGGTGACAGAGTAGAGGGAATGAGAAGGGAGAGCAGGAGAGAAACAACAGAGCAAAATGCAACACATTTTTACTTCGGCTGCTTCAGTATTATTATTATTTTTGTGAAATCCTCAAATTGGGAAAAAAAAGATAAGATAAGCTTAATGCAAAGAAGAGAAGAGTGAAAATGGATGAGAAAACGAATGAAATGTACTTTGCTTGACTAACACATTGCAGTCCAAAACGAGAGGATTTCAACTGGTACATCAGGCTCACTCAGCTTAAAATGTATCAGTCGTATCAGTCCATGCCGTCCGCAGTATATTGGCACTTACTTGTGACACTGAAAACTCTCACAAATGGGTCCTTCTCTCTCCTACACACATACATGTAAAGGACACAAAGACACCACACAGCATTGGTGATAATGATGGCTTGTAATAAATTAGAGGGCAATATATTGCTCTTCCCCTTGTTTCCCACGCAGCACATGTCTGAGAGCGCTTAATTGCCCATTCTCAATTACCACTGGAGGACTGAAGAGAGAGCGAGAGACAGAGGGAAAAAGCAGAGAATACAATGAAAGAGAGAGGGAGGGAGAGCGTGAGAGTGAAAGTGATTATTTGAATTACAGCTGGTAATTGAATAACCCTCCACAGGGGAAGGCTGATAGATGAGTGCGCAGCTCACATTCGTGCCGATAGCCAGTCCCTTCAGGATTTCATTAAATTCCTCTGTGATAAACACAAAGACCCCTGCAGGCTATGAGTTATTATTGGCAGATTTCTATATTTACTATTGCAAAAAAGTTAACAATTTCCCTTTTTATTCTTTTTTTAAAAGGTTTTGATAAAGGTTGTAAGTGTGTTTTAGGACTTCTTGCTCGATTTATTTGTAGCCAAGCCAACTGTGGTTGAGTCAACTTATAAATAAGACAAACCAGAATCCCACTCTACACTAAGGGATTTGATAAAGCTGTGAAAGATGTGGCAGTTTATTGAATGGCCGACTTTATGGACCTGCCTTAGCTGTGTTGGAGCCGCAGCTCTCAGTCTGTCAATGGACTGCCTTATGAAAGTCAAGAGAACAGGAGATGAGATGTGAGCCACCTGATAATAGGTGGGGGGGCAGAGAAAAAATGAACAGTAGCAGCACAGAGAGACTGCAGGTGGAGGACAGGGCAGCATGAATGAACAAATGAATGGAGGTACAGATGATGAATGAGTGAGTGAATAAATAAATCCCTCAGTAGCCAACCAGCTGCAGGTGTTTCTATAGTGCACCTGGATCCAATGGCAGCATATGCACTCATTTGATTGCAGACTAGATTAATTATCCGACCTCTTCTTGTGTGAGGCCAAATGTAACCAATTTTCTTACACATTTGTAAAAACTAACAACTTTCTATCTTCTTGTCCCTCAGACAAACAGAATGAGGTGGAGATGCCGTCGCCGACATCCAAGGCGCGAGAGAAGAAGAAGCAGACGAGGCAGCAGCTGATGACACAGATCAGCGGAGTGAAAAAGGTTTCCCATGGTCCTTCGCTCTCCACCAGCAGCATCTCGCGCTTCGGTGTCAAGACCGATAAGGAGGAGCTGCTGTCCAAAGAGCTGGAGGACCTCAACAAGTGGGGCCTGAACATCTTCACCGTTTCAGAGTACTCCCACAGTCGGCCTCTTACCTGCATCATGTACGCCATCTTCCAGGTATGAATTGTCTGGAATTCTGTATTCTGTTGTTTATCCACTTATAATTGTTGTTTATTTCTACTCAAATGAACCACACTTATTCCTAAACATTCTACCATGTTGGTTTTCCTAGGAGCGAGACCTGTTAAAGACATTTCAAATCCCTGTGGATACGTTCGTGGCCTACATGATGACATTGGAGGACCACTACCATTCAGATGTGGCCTACCATAACAGCCTGCATGCTGCTGACGTAGCCCAATCCACACACATCCTCCTCTCCACTCCAGCCCTAGATGTAAGTTATTATATAGTTGATTATACTACTTGTTTTTAATACCTCAGATCAGGGTCTTGGAATATTATCAACTTTCAGTCCACTTTCAACTTTACGGGTTAAAAAAATCACCACTTCTGACTTAGACACCAGTGAGTATCCACAGAAATAGGGGGAAACTAAATTAGAGGCGTGAGCGCTTACATCACCCCATTTGCAATTTTCCTGGATCGCCACACCAGCTTTCAAGAACTCAACCTCCTTCCATTGAATCATATTTTCCCCCATTGATCGGGGAATTACCCCTCGTTCTTCCAACACTTGGCCCTCTGTGACTTATTTGTTAGATTTTTCCTGCATGCATTTTGTATCAGTATTGGTAGGACACAGTCAGGTCAGAATGCCCTGGACTTAAGCTATTGATCTTCTCTTCTTGGCTGTCTTTCATCTATTCAATCCTGCGCACACAGTGTTATGCATGTACTTGATCTGTGTAGTTTGAAAGAAAGGCAGACTTCGTACTTGATTGAAAATTGGCATAGATATTATAGTTATTCTTTAGTTTTTGTAACCCTTTAGAAATGTTTAATGTTTTGTTTTCCACCTCTTCTTAGGCGGTGTTCACAGATCTTGAGATCCTAGCAGCCATCTTTGCTGCAGCTATCCATGATGTTGACCATCCTGGAGTATCAAACCAATTCCTAATCAACACCAGTAAGTCAAAATAATACCCATCACAGGACTGATTGAAATTATTTGTTGCTTTCCTGAAAACGTATAGAATAGATAGTAATAGAAGCCGTTATGACAGTGACTAAAATATATATTTTTGACGCTTTTTCAGACTCTGAGCTGGCGTTGATGTACAACGATGAGTCTGTGCTGGAGAACCATCACCTGGCTGTGGGATTCAAGCTACTACAGGAAGACAACTGTGATATATTCCAGAACGTCCCTAAGAAGCAGCGACAGTCCCTCCGCAAGATGGTGATCGACCTGGTAAGAAATCCTGTTTCATAGTATTTCCTCTTCTCGATTTATATTATAACATTCCGAAATTATTCTAATGCTGATGAATGGTTCTCTTTCTTTTATGCAGGTTTTGGCCACTGACATGTCCAAACACATGAGTCTGCTGGCTGATCTGAAGACTATGGTGGAGACAAAGAAGGTGACAAGCTCAGGAGTGCTGCTGCTGGATAACTACACAGACAGGATACAGGTGGGTGTTGAGATTTAGCAAACAATAAAAAAGGGACAGTTAAAAGAAAAAGCATACTTAATATATTTCCTTGGATGGACTGTGAGAATGTGATTGGACACTGCAAGCCCTCCACCTCTCTTTCGCAGCTTTTAATAGCTCTAATCAATAGTCAGTGTTGGCAGAGGTTACTCAGCCAATGGTCATTAGTCGGCCTCCTACATAGCTGACCTCTGCTCCCTGCTGTCACTCTTTCTCTCACTCCATCCGTCTTCTTTTTTACCTTTAAGTGCTCCCTCTACACTTGCCCCTTAATGGTCTTTCTAGGATTTCTTCTTTCTAGACTGACTTCCTTTCATAACAAAACCCTTTATAGAAAGAACCTTAAATGATATATACTCACTACACAAGCATATACTAAATTGCATTTCTGTATTATTTACAGGTGCTGCGTAACATGGTGCACTGTGCCGACCTGAGTAACCCCACCAAGTCCCTGGAGCTGTATCGCCAGTGGACTGATCGGATAATGGACGAGTTCTTCCACCAGGGAGACAGAGAGAGGGAGAGGGGGATAGAGATCAGTCCTATGTGTGATAAACACACAGCCTCCGTGGAGAAGAGCCAGGTAGGCACTCAAAATATCTGCATTTATATATGAAAGAAAAAGTTATAATAATCTCACTTTCGGTTCTAATGTGCCTGCTTTCTACTCTCCAGGTGGGTTTCATCGACTACATCGTGCACCCTCTGTGGGAGACGTGGGCCGATCTGGTCCACCCTGACGCCCAGGACATTCTGGACACGCTGGAGGACAACAGGAACTGGTACCAGAGCATGATCCCCCAGAGCCCCTCCCCGCCCTTCTACGACCAGGGCGTGCACGGACACAGTGGAGGGAATGGAGGTCAGGGAGGAGGGGAGAAGTTTCAGTTTGAGCTCACCGTGGAGGAGGAGGACTTGAATGGAATAGAGAAAGATGGCGAAGGGGAGGAGGAGGAAGAAGAAGAAGAAGAAGAAGAAGAAGAGGAGTTGGAAGAGGAGGAAGATAGTCTGGGAGATTCTCGTTCTCCTCCCCTGGACTATTTGGACGGTCAGGAGCTTGAGGAGGGAGTCATGATAGAGCCGGCGATAGAGATTGTGACCCATGAGGCGTCGCCCACAGACACATAGGGCTTCCATCATCAGGCTCACATGGTGATTTGAACGTTTTTGGCAAAAGGGGGAGATCCTCTTGCAGCTGTGCTTTTTAATAAGCCCATAGAAGCAAAGGCTTAGTTTGGTCCCTCACAGGGGCGTTTGCACTTGGGTGTTTGAAGCCAGACACGGACGGACAGTTTCGGTGAGGCGGCTTCAGAGTTCTCAGGAAATAATTACTGCGAACATTTTAGTCTTGATGGACAGGCGAGACTGAGAGTGGAACTTGAAGGATTGCGGCCAGTTTGGGAAATAGTTACTCTTCTTTCTGGACCGGCATTAAATGGACATTGACACTACTGAGAGAAGTTTTGTACCTTAAGACTTTTTTACAGATATGATATGATCTAGAAGTAGCATAGATTAAGATCTACTGATGGAGACACATTTGTATAGCAAAAGAGAGTGTTTACTTTTTCCTGTACCATTTGTCAAAGGACTTTTGTGTGCCTTTTTTACTATTGTCTTTATAATAGTTTTTTATTTATTGAACACTCTAGTATGTCTGTGAAATGTTTTTTTTCTTATCTGAAAGAGCAACATCTTTTTTTGTATGTTAAAGAGAACAGTCTTCCATGTATTGGGCAATAGAGAAATCCAAACAAACGTCGACAAACTAATCTGAATAGGGAAACATTAACACCCACATTATACGCACATTCTGTCACTTTTGTTTTTCAATCTGAGCAGTGTTTCATACATGGAATTCAAATGCTTAATTTCCCTCATGCTTCATGTTACATGAATGTTTGTTGCTTTCTTTAGCAGTTGTTGGTCAATGAATGTCACAGTTACACTAAATCACCTATATTCATCTCTATACATCATCTTTTCTCTTTTCTGCGTAACAGTCTGCAATCCATTGGTCGACTTCCTACCTCTTTCTCACCAAAACTTGACTTTTGATGCTAAATGCCAAGGATGTGAAATCCTACACTTAAAACTATTTGATCAGATATTCCTGCTACATTTTCAATGTACATTTATGAAGCATTTGATCTGTTTGGTTTTGTCTTTTCATTTTCCTCAACCAATTGTTTTCGTGTTGGTGTGAAAAAGAGGATAGTCAAGATCAAACCCTCATAACCTGCAATCTATTACTAGTTTCAATCAGCAGTAAAACAAGCAAGTCTTAAAGCAAATAGTGTGCTGCTTAGATCTGTAAAGTCAGGAATTAAGTCTACAAAGGACAAAATGCACAACAGCAGTAAATCAATATTTTTGTTTAGCCTACAAGTACGCTGCAGTCTTAATAATCCTGTTAGATGGAACAGGTCCTGACCCCAGACCCGTCTGATGTAAGGCCCCCACCCCCACCCCTCGGCAATCAGGCCCAGACCACATGATTAAAGGTGCTCGTACAGCTGCCTATTTGCAGGGCGCTCTCAGACCCTCATCAGAACCTCTATTCATATGGTTTACAAACCCCTTTGGGCTCCACGGACATGACCCCAAAACAATCAGGTCAGCTATTTCTTCCTCACAATAAAAATCCCTCAAGTGCTGAGTCGGGTCATTGACGTCAATTGAATTTCTCCCCCTCCCCCTTGACTGTATCAGGTTTCCAGGACAGTGGGGTTATAGGGATTGGAAACAGATGGAATTGCTGGATTCGGCCTGGCAGACTTTACCCTCTAGAAAAACAGAGGGATAATTAGGTGCTCTAGTTTGAAAACAAACCAAAAAAAGCCTATTTTTGCTGCTGAATGAGGTTCGAAAATGGTGTGCAGACGTTACATTTATGCTCCTGACGCTTCCATGACTAATTTGTATTGAGGTGCTAGTTGCATCTATATTTACAGCTCTCCATTTCCATATTGGTTCACTGATATACTCAAAGGTACTTCATTTATTTCACTCTAGCATGCGTAAGTGGCAATTGTCTGTGTGCAGTATGTATGTGTGTGTGTGTGTACAGTATGAAAGGTTTTGTATCTGTGTGTGTTTGGATGTGTTGACTTTGTCATCAGGCCTTACCCCCATCACTCCTCACCTTTGTCTCTACTGTTTGTCGCTAGGAGCTCAAGTTGGTCCTTTTTGCTGTTTATAACAGTGTGTATTTATTCTCTACTTAAAGCTTGTAAATATGAAATACTGGTTCAGTGTAAAATCTATTTTAATTTATATGCACTTGCATTACCTGGAAGTGGTGGTGTCTAATGTGTAGAAGACTCTGGATTAGAGTCTTTTTATATATGTATTATATATTGTTTTTTATATAAATATATATATAAATATATCTAAGTATATATTCGCACAATGTTTTGAGTGCCCAGCAGAGCAGCAGCTAAAGATACATGTTGTTGTCACATGAAGACCTTGTAACTTCACAAGAAAATGGAAAAACATTTATTAATTAAGCTTATTATAAAGGAATATTAAACAAAGAAATAATTTGGCATTACTTATATATTCGAAAGTTTCTCTTGGTTAACTTGATTTAGGCTTAGATACATTTCTGAAATAATAGCTATCATTTTAGAGAGGACATGTCCTCATTTGGTTTCGTAGGTAATTTTTCTGATTGGAAGCTATTTTGATCCAACTGAGTTTTTGAAGCTACAAGGTTTTCATCCGACAGCAGTAATTTGGTAACCCAGGGGCGACATAGAGGACATGTTAAACTGCATAGGCTGTGAAATAGGATACATGCAGGCTAGCTAAGGAACACAAAGGCTTAGTCGATGCTTGGTATCAAAGTACAACAATAGCTTATTTTCTCTCAGCAGCTTGTCACAACCTTAGCTTCTCCATCCAGCATTTGAGTGCAGATTGCTGATACTGTATATGAGGCCAGATAGATACAGGTTTACCGACAAACACAAAGCAATTGTCTCCTTTTACACTTAACGCACTTGATGTAAAAGTAGATAACACGGGGACTGTATTGGTACAGTAGCATGCTACAATACGCCCGGCACTGACGTGAATCGTTCAGAATTAACAACAAAACATGATCGTATGTAACTGATTGTGCTAATGTGTGAACTCTTTCTGACCAAACTTGTTAGCAGTTTTGAAATTCAAATTTGTCAGTATTAACATTGTTTATCTATGTTCAAGCTTTTTTTGGTCCTAGTTGTGTCCAAATGGTTAGCCAGATTTAGCACTATCTGCATGAGAGATGGGTTTTTTTATGTCAATAATATGTTCAAGTCCGCCAATTGGTGGGTTATTAAATGTTTCACACAATGTATGGTATTATATTGTATATTGTGTTCGAAAATAAATCTGAAATACTTTTTCTATTAAGTGATTAAAAGCAAAGCATGAATACATTCCATGGATTTCTGATATTTTTTTCTCACTTTTATCGACTTCACTGTAAATTATTACCGCCAATTAACAGCAGGTTTTTAACTGTATCAATCTCCTATTTTTGAATACAACACAATACTGGCACAACAAAAGAAAATGACCAAAGGACTTTTTAATCGTAAAATTAATCTTGTCTTAATCTATCTTATTCTCTTAAATTATTTGGTGGTTACTGGTATTTGTTTCATAACTCAGTGCAAAGACATGCTCCAGTTTGTTACTGGATACTTGCACACCATGAAAGAAGGGTTCATTAGCTGGATATCATTTACGATTACTGCCTATTAGACTTTTTCAATACACATCACTAGGAGTCTACTGAAGTCACTTTAACAGTTGAAGTACATTAAGACTTCTGTGCAAGCTAGTTATTGGTTAAATCAAGACAAGTTTGTATACAAACAAAAAATCCATACACTTTCAGGGCTTGCAGTATGTTCCACCTTTTACATTTTAAATCTCTAATACTGCAAATGTTCAATGACATGCTACTGCGCAATATGCAGTACGCTGCCATTCATTGTGTTGTATGTAGGAGTAAGTTGCACAAATTGATTTGACACGGTGTCTTTTTTCAGGTGATTTGTTGAAAAAACCCACCAATGCTGGACTTGCAGACTTTGAGTTTAAATGGTGGGTTTACTACCCATTCCATGAAAAACACCAATCTCATAAATACAGAGAAATTCAGAATCCCTCCTCTATTCTCTGGCTCAGGGCTCATGGGATATTATTTATTTGAGTTTTTATGTTCATGGTCAACATTATGATAAGAGGAAATAATCAGCAGATTCAAACAATGTCTATTGTGTTCAAAAAGTACATCTGAAATACTTTTTTTAATAAAACCAAAGCTTGTATATATTCCTGGGGTTCCTGCTGTTTTTTTTTCTCATAGTCTAGTTTTCTTTAATCTGGGTGAACATTAAATTGGGTCACAGTCATGCTTCTGGTGGGTTCCCACATGTTTGTCACGTTTCATTAAGGCCCAGACTCACCAAACTGACATCACAGAACGAGGGACAACCAAGGCTGATTGTTGCATCGCCTCACGTCTCACATGTTTGAGCCAAGATGTTACACTTGGACACAAAAACTAGGCCAACAGTCAAGTAGCACATACTGTACCTGCAGAAAATAACTCTCAAACCCAGCAGGTGGCTGTAGTCTGAATTGCTCATTCAGAGGAAAAAGACCTCGGACTGTGGACATACTGTATATCCTGCCGCTGAGCACTCACTTGCTCATTGCCTAGCTTCATTCCAGGTTCCATGTTGTGAAAATATTAGTGTGTTTAAAGGATCAAATTAGAAGAGCCTCTGTATGTGCCTTCTTGACTTAAGTAGTTTGCTTGCTTATCTCACTTCTCTTTCTCTTTTCAGGAACAGATTATCTTTAAGTAAAGAGCTAAGAGTGATTTTCTCACTGACATGCCAGCAGTCCAGGAAGAATAGGTCCACACAATTACCGATGACCGAGGTCGGTCTAGCGTCTTAGGACTCTAGGTTGTGTCTCGATAATAAGATCGTTTCAGTGGTACCCTGTTTGACAGTTATACTATACAGGAAATGTTACAGAACAACTTACTTTGAATCTGAGAGTATCTATATGCAACTGTGGTTCTGTTTTGTAAAGTCAAGTTTAAGTTCCCAAAGTTGGTTAACCACATTATGTATAAAAATAATAAAACCACAAAAGGTCAGGGGACAATGAACCGTTCTGTGAGAGGAAAAACCCTGGAGAGTGCTGGAAACTAAAGTAGAAGTACATACAACATACTTTAGTGTGTTTTAGTATATCTGTACTATGTTTCTCTTCATTCTCTGATGTCTCTCTTTGCTGCATCATCACATCTAATGTGCTGAGACAGGAACACACTGTGACACAGACTCAGCACTGCGGCCTACACACAATCTGACAGTACTGTCCTTATGTGACATAAGGCCTTCACACACTCAAAAACACAAACCTGTTCATGTTTGTACGTGTTGAAGGCACACACACACACCCACACACACACACACACACACACACACACACACACACACACACACACACACACACACACACACACACACACACACACACACACTACAAAAGTCCTTTGCAAGACATGTTTCCAACCTAAACAGTAAACGATAACAAAAGTTTAGAATTTTCCTTGGAATGTCCGAAAAATGCATTATATACTGTAAGCTCTGTGGCAAACAAACATTTAAGATATTTGCCCACTCTTGACCTAACAATCAATATCGGCACCTCAGTTGTTTCCCCGACACAGACTGCAAGGAATCTGGGTGTGACCCTAGATAACAACCTGTCCTTCACTGCAAACATCGCTGCTACAACCCGTTGCTGCAGATACACGCTTTACAACATCAGGAGGATACGTCCCCAGCTGACACAGAAAGCGACTCAGGTTCTGGTCCAGGCTCTCCTCATCTCACGCCTAGACTACTGCAACTCCCTCCTGGCTGGTCTACCTGCATGTGCCATCCGACCTCTGCAGCTCATCCAGAATGCAGCGGCTCGTCTGGTCTTCAACCTTCCTACATTTTCCCACACTACTCCGCTCCTACGCTCGCTTCACTGGCTTCCGGTAACTGCTCGAATCCACTTCAAGACACTGGTACTTGCTTACCATGCTGCGAATGGATCTGGCCCTTCCTACATCCAGGACATGGTTAAACCGTACACCCCAGCGCGTGCACAACCTTCTGCATCAGCCAAACGACTCGCTGCGCCCTCGCTGCGAGGGGGACCCAAGTTCCCAACGGCGAAAACACGTGGGTTTGCTGTCCTGGCTCCAGGATGGTGGAATGAGCTCCCCATTGACATCAGGACGGCAGATAGCTTGCACATCTTCCGGCGCAAACTGAAAACTCATCTCTTTCGACTCCACTTCGAGCGATAGAACTATTAACGAAGCACTTTTATACTAATAAAGGACTGGCTTTTCTAAAGCCAGTTGAGTAGCACTTGAAATGTTTTTACTCTATGAAACCTGATGTACTTATATGATTCTGTTTTCTTCAAGTTGTATTTTGTTGGACGAACGCACTTATTGTAAGTCGCTTTGGATAAAAGCGTCAGCTAAATGCAATGTAATGTAATGTAATGTAATAAGTTTCACAAATAAATACCACTGAAATTATTAATTATTAATGAAAAGTTAACATTAGACTGTATACAAACCATATAATTGTAGCATTACTTTGTGTCACCCCCACTAAGCTAAAGGTGCACAAGCATTCACCGTGATGACGTTTAGTGCAGCTTTTTTTAAAACACGTCAAGGCATAAAAATGTAAAGGTAGGGCGAACCGACCGTCTCAAGTCTCCTCTCAAGTTCCTTCTCAAGCCACATCTCCAGCTCCCTCTCGAGTCATCTCTCAAGTCTCCTCTCCAGTTCCCTCTCAAGACTCCTCTCGAGTTCCCTCTCGAGTCCCCTTTCAAGACACTTCGCAAGTTTCCCTCTCGAGTTCCCTCTTGAGTCCCCTCTCGAGTCCCCTCTCAAGTCACCCCTCCAGTTCCCTCTCGAGTCCCCTATCGAGTCCCCTCTCGAGTCATCTCTCAAGTCTCCTCTCCAGTTCCCTCTCGAGTCTCCTCTCGAGTCACCTCTCAAGTCCCCCCTCGAGTCCCCTCTCAAGTCACCCCTCGAGTTCCCTCTCAAGTTCCCTCTCGAGTCCCCTCTCAAGTCACCCCTCGAGTTCCGTCTCAAGTCTCCTCTCGAGTTCCCTCTCAAGCCTCCTTTCAAGTCACCTCTCAAGTCACCTCTCGAGTTCCCTCTCGAGTCCACTCTCAAGTCTCCTCTCGAGCCTCCTCTCAAGCCTCCTTTCAAGTCACCTCTCGAGTTCCCTCTCGAGTTACCTCTCGAGTTCCCTCTCGAGTCACCTCTCGAGTTCCCTCTCAAGTCCCCTCTCGAGTTACCTCTCGAGTTCCATCTCTAGTCCCTTCTCAAGTCCCTCCTCACCTCTCTAGTCCCTCCTCTGGTCCCTTCCCGAGTCCCTCCTCTAGTCCCTTCCCAAGTCCCTTCTCTAGTCCCTTCTCTAGTCCCTACTCAATTCCCTTCTCAAGTCCCTCCTCTAGTCAATTCTCTAGTTCCCTCTTGAGTCCCCTCTCGAGTCCCCTCTCGAGTTCCCTTCTCAAGTCCCTCCTCTAGTCCCTTATCAAGTCCCTCCTCTAGTCCCTCCTCGGTTCCCCTCTCTAGTTCCCCCTTGGTTCCCCTCTCGAGTCCCCTCTCTAGTTTCCCCTTGGTTCCCCTCTTGAGTCTCCTCTCGAGTTACGTCTCAAGTCCCTACCCAATGTCCTGGTCCGTTGGAGGTTCCGCTGGGGGTCCTGCCAACTCCATGTCCTGTCCCGTTGGAGGCCCCGCCGACTACTCCTCTGCCGGGGGTCTTGCCAACCCTATGTCCTGTGCCGTTGGAGGCCCCGCCGACTACTCCTCTGCCGGGGGTCCTGCCAATCCTATGTCCGTGCCGTTGGAGGTCCCGCCGACTACTCTCCTGCCGGGGGTCCTGCCAACCCTATGTCCTGTGCCGTTGGAGGTCCCGCCGACTACTCTCCTGCCGGGGGTCCTGCCAACCCTATGTCCTGTGCCGTTGGAGGTTCCGCTGGGGTTCCTGCCAGCTCCATGTCCTGTCCCATTGGGGGTCCCGTCGACTACTCTCCTGCCGAGGGTCCTGCCAACCCTGTGTCCTGTCCCAGTTGGGGGTCCCGACTCTTCTGCCGGGGGTCCTGCCAACCCTATGTCCTGTGCCGTTGGAGGTTCCGCTGGGGTTCCTGCCAGCTCCATGTCCTGTCCCGTTGGGGGTCCCGCCGACTACTCTCCTGCCGGGGGTCCTGCCGACCCTGTGTCCTGTCCCGTTGGGGGTCCCGCCGCCGACTCTTCTGCCGGGGGTTCTCCCAATCCCATGTCTTGTTCCGTTGGAGGTCCCGCCGTCACCTGTCTCGCCGGGGGTCC